AGAGCAAGGAAAGCGGTAAGCTTGTAGGAAGCATCTTCCTTGTCAACATCAAAACTATATACTTCAGTAGTCAACAAAACATTCCGGTGTTGGAACCATCACCAGCGCTACAAAATTTACTGCAGTAAATTGTCGTGTTCTTCCACCATCGTCATCCCACCTGTTACGTCTCCATGTTATACTCACACCGTCTTGGGGACGTCGATATTTTCTCTGACTTGCGCCCAGGTGCAAGAGGCCCTTGACCAGCTGCAGGCGAAGCAGAAGCGCACCACCCTTGCCGTGGCTCACCGCCTGACCACGATCCGCAACTCCGACAAGATCGCCGTGCTCAACGGCGGGGGCGTGCAGGAGCTCGGCACGCACGACGAGCTGCTAGCTCTCAAGGGCTTGTACGCCACGTAAGTTTGTGTTCCACACGAAGAGCTTGTTGCTGCTGCTGCAGCGGCTGTCGTGGAATTTTTTCACTCTACCTTATACCTCTTTCTTGACCCTTGTTGTTGCTCAGAATAGCGTAAGAAGTATTTCACTGATCATCCCACTTTCGACTTCTCCTGTCTCCCAACACGGTACAATTCTTGCGCCCTTTGTTGTTGCTCGTAAATACCGTATGGCGCACTCGTCATCCCATGTTGACCCCTTCTCCCGTCTCCCAACACGGTACAATTCTTGCTTCGTTTTTTATTGCACGGAAATACCGTATGGCGCACTCGTCATCCCATGTTGACCCCTTCTCCCGTCTCCCAACATGGTACAAGTTTTTTCTCCGTTTGCCTTCGGAATACTACATGGTTCACTCATCGTCCCGTTTTCTCCCCCGTCTCCCGTCTCCAAACAACGCCGTCTTCTTTGGAAACCCCCAGGCTATGGAACCAACAGACGAGCAAGCTCACGGGCAAGTAACAGAGCGACGGCTTCGGAATCATCTCTCGCCTTGCCTCTCTAGGGGTTTTGTCATAATACTGATGTCACAATTGTGAAGACTTTTTTTTTTTTGTCTGCAGAAAATCATCGCCTCCCGCCATCACAAGATTGACAACGGGTGGGCGAGGGTTTGGTCATCGGATAGAGAAAGGCAAGCCTATCCTTGTCAGCTGCGCGATTCTCCCAACAATGATCAATTTCATGCGTGCCCAGCTTGTCAAGTTTTTGCTACATGCGTGCCCAGCTTGTCAAGTTTTTGCTACATGCGTGCCCAGCTTGTCAAGTTTTTGCTCTCGTCTTTTTGCTGCTCTCTGGGGGGGCTTGACTCTCTGGTTGTTTGTTGAAGAGTGCATGCAGTCCCATGAGCAGGAAGGGCTCGTTTTCGCCGCACACAATCTTTCGAAAATGGGATGTTGCTGGAATCGTTTTCCAAGGCAGGTGCGATCGGCACGTTCGTGAGACTCTAGACAAGGCACCGGTCTCCTGACCCATCGGCACAGGTCGTTGTAGGGTAACGGGAAGCGTTTTCGGCGCAGTACGCACGGGTGTTTGTGTTTGCTCTCCTGGCTATATATCTATCCGAAACGGCTGGTATGCTGAGAGCCGTTGCCGAAATAGCGTTTTCGGTTCCGCTCATTTGTTTCCGTTGCGTTTGTGTTTGCGTGTGTACTTTTAACTTGTACGCGACTCGGGCTCCTTTTTCAGTTTGGTTTTACCAGAAAAGTCTTGAGAGAAGCTCCGAGCTCAATCTAGCCGTTCCACGAAGAATGTCCGCAAGGTGCTTCCTGAAAGGGGTAATTATGTCTGCAATGGATATGAGCTGCTCCCAGTGTAACCTGATGAAAGTCAGGGATTTTCATCTTTTTTTTTTGGTTGCGATGGACAACGGGTGCGCAAGTCATGTCCTTGTGTCGATGCACCGAGGACATCGTTCTTTTGGCGGTGCATACGCGAAACTGGCAAATTCCTGCCACGTACCATGGCTTGTTGCATCATTTGTTGTTTTGTGTACCCGTTGTGTTGAGTGCTATATTTCTTTCCTCTCTCCAGTTGGAGAAATGGCGCTAGGCTTGATTGTACCTCGCGGAATTGGCGTCGCGTCAGCGGTCTTATCTGTGTGTCCCTGTAGTTCGTGTTTTATTCTTTCGTCGCCACACCTAGACTATCATACGTGTCGTGTGACAACACAGGCAGGCGTGGTAAGATTTAGTTGTATCATACCAACGTTCACTACGTTGGGTGCTGCGCTTGACTGTTTGTTGCACACACAGGAAACGCGCTTGGAGTGACGAGCGGGCGGTGCTTTTGGACTTTTTTCGCTTTCAATCACGCTGGAATGTTGTTTTGTTGTTTCTACACTTTGCGTGTGCCTAGGGAGGTTGTATCTTTGAAAACACATGCCGTAGTGCCCCGATAATTTACCTTGCATTCCTGCAATGCTGCTTTTGTTCATGGAGACGCATGCCGTTGTCGTTAGACCGTTGACCTCGCATTCTTATTATGCCGAGACGCATGCGATATGCCGGGGATTGGGGTGATTCTGTTGAAGTAGTTCCCCCTCCATACCCAATCAGATTCACGCTGTGTGGTTGGGTTGTAGAACGACGGTGGTGCGAGCCATTATCGAACGCTGTTCCAGGCTTGCTTGTAGAGAGTGGCGTTTTCGAAAAAATGTACTGGTATACTGCTGTGTAGTACGTACCATGATACACGAGACGAGACATGTCTTTTGGAAAATAGACTGGTACACACGAATCTCTTCCCTACAACTTTCTTGCACACAGGGAGCAAACACTGCGGCTGTTTCTGTCTCGAGCCTGTTGTGTTGGAGTGCAGACAACAGAGAGCGAGCCCGTCTGTTAGCGTCGTCGATGAATGCAGGGAATCGTGCGTGCATCGCGCTTCGATCGGAATGTAATTTGAGGCTCGATGTTACTTACCTTGACGCTGGAACGACACACCCTACCTGTCTGTGCTCCATACTACTTGTTTTGTTCTGCACTATATAATCCCGTTCTTTCGGCGAGCGTCGCTCTCTCGCCCGAAACGCCACTGCAGCTTTAACCTCGACTTAAGTCCGACCTTGTCTTGTCGCTCTCAGTGCGTACGAACATACATGGGGTCGCGCCAACGCCCACACACCCCAGGCACGGAACTGTAAATAACACAAAATGGGACCCAGGGGCATATTTTCCGCGATGTAGCAGTACCCACCGCTTTCCCGCCTTCATCTTGCACTTTTGCTGTACACTGCATGTCAATCCTTAATCCCAAGTAGCTTCGCGAGATGGACAACGTAGTGGAGGGCGGAGGTCCTTCTGCGCTTATGCATAGGATCAACATGTTCACAACTATCAGACAGCGAGCCTTGAGTTTATCCTCTTCCTGTGCGTCACTGATTCGACACGAACGGGTGGCGGAGGTATCAGGAGTCAGGGAGAGAAGCGCTGTCTGCGAAGCACGGATGGATGACGTGCTCTCCGGCAAATTTATCAGTTGATATGATGGCGACCACAAGCTTTTGCTTAGACATAGGTTGTAGCGAAGGGGGGGGTCTTTCTGGCGAGCAGGGCTAGACTCACCCTCAAGGGATGACCGAAACCTTCTTGCTGCTGCGCATCCGCCGCGAGGCGTGCGTGTGGTGGTGTTGGGTCGGCACTGATGGGGTCAGGCGGGAAAATGTAGATGGCGGGCCTTTCTGGCCGTCGGCGTAGGCAGTGATGCCCATCTCATTTTTGTGCGCGGAGGCAGACACCATCAGAAAGGTGGACGGGCACTACACGGCCCTAGGTTTGCTAGAGGGAGCTGTATTGCCTCAGTAACCTGGCTTCGCCATCAACGGAGGAGGGAGCAGGTGGCGACGAGCTGAACTAGGCTGGTTGACCATTCGGCGCGAGAATTTTTATTTTTTCAGACCAAGAACCTTGAGTGCAATGAGGGAGAAAGCGAGGAACGGACTGGGAAGGACAGCAACGAGAGCGTGTACGGACGGAGCAGGTCGAGTGACGTTTTGCTCGGGCTGACTACAGCGGCGCCGGATGGAGCAGTGGCACCGGAGCATGCGGGCGACATCGACCCGTGGCGCACGGACAAACATTTCTATCTGTGTTGTCAATTTTTTTCGTTTTTTTTCTGACTTTCCGTGTTGGTTTTGTGTGATGACATCGTCACCGGTTTTGTAGAGAGACCCGTCAGAGATGGCGTGGCTAACCCGGGTGCATTGGTTTTGTGCCTGATCGTGGAAGACCCCTTCAATGTGGAACGATTCTTAGCCAGTGTCGATATTTTCCACTGCAGTGCCTACACAGACGATCGGGAGAGATTCGGGTGATTGTCAATTGCTGCTATGATGGCTTTGGTTGGTTGTTCTTTTTCACTGTACGGCCGCAGACACATTCTGACAGCACTTCAGACAGCAGCTTTGTGCCCCGCCAGCTGCTTGTTCCATGCCTACCATGGTGTTTTTGTACAGACGGCACTTCAGACAGCAGTATGCTGTAGTCGGCAATCTTCCGTTTTGGTATAGAGTGGGACAGGGAGGGGGTGATGCTACTGTAGTCGAACGGTGGGACGGACGTGCAGTTCAGTTTTTGGGCACGCATACGGTGCTGCAGGGATTTTAAGGTGTACCTCTTCGGGCTCTTGGATACCTTTTTCTCGTTATATGTGTGCGTGTTCTTTAGATCCTCAGATGGCTCTAGCGCTTTCGTGACCACGGGCTGAGAGTCTTTTGCTAGATTTTGGCATTTGGCAACTGACATACGGTTTAATGTGAAGACAACAACAACAACAACAACTATCGAAACAAATCATCGAAACATCATCGATGCCTATTTGCTGTAAACGGGACGTCCCAGCCGAGACTCAGGGGTGATGGATGGATGGTCATCCCGTCTACACCCACAAGCCCTCATAACCATCAAACCGCTATGACCGCCTTCGCGAGAAATGAAGTTCAAGAGGAATAGTTCAGATTATGAGGAAGTATAACAGGAAGGGGGTACGCAGAGCCAACCCAACTTTCCCCGTTTGCATGCTTTATCCAACAATATAAAAAACCCTTTCAAGGCTACTCCTGGGCACACCGCCTGTGCTTTGCAACGAACAGTAGCTGTCGGTTGCTTGGCAAACAACACCAGGCACCTGCGACGAACTTCGTCTGTCTCTCGCCCGGACCACAACGTTTCGGAGAGCAAGGAGAACACATGTGACAAAAGAACACGTCCGCCATGGGAGGAACCTGATGCCAGTTTTATGTGGTTACGCAGGTGGTCGCGACTTAGTGCAAACAAAAAAAAACATTTGGGTAAAAACTGCAGCAGAGAAGACCAACACTGTTCCGACATCCGACCTATACGTTGCAAGTTCTCTTCGCGCACAATCGAAGCCAAACCACGAAATTACTCACGCAAAGCAGACACTAGAATCTTCCAAGTATATATCTGATAAATGACATGTATCCAACTTTGGCGTACAAAAGA